TTCCTCGCAGCTGCTGGAACAGACTGGCCATTTTTATTCAGCCACCATGCTTGGGATGGATGAGAAGAAAACGTGGGCACCGTTTCTGAAACTGCCCCTTGCTAATGACAATCATGATGCCTTCAAGAGGCAAGGTTTGGCCTAGTCCACCGCATCCCACCACATTCCAGGTCCACACAGGACAGTGGGGTGCTGGAGTACTTCATGCCAGTGGACATGGAATGTAGGTGGGTGTCTTCCGCCAAGTCCCAAAAGAGGTGAGCAGCATTCAGTTAGGTTTGTTCAGGAAATCTGCCCTCAAGATGGGGCGCCCAACTCCAGCTCTGTTCCTCTCCCATTCAGTTGCAGTGGAGAGCCACAAGGGGCCATTCCAGGCCTGTGTAGATGCTCAGGAGTCCAAACACCACGAGAGACCAAATTTTGCACCTCTTCCTTTTAAGTCCTAAAACTGCATAGATTTGGAAAATGAGGGAAGCATATTGAGAAGCCTCTCTTTTTCCTCTCCTCTCCTCTCCTCTCACACCCCTTTTCCTGCTCCTTCCTTTTCAGAACATGATTCTTGCCACGCATTTTGTGGCTTTGTCTGTTTTATAACTTATGCAACACTCTTGGCAAGGTGAGGGGTGCATTCTGGGGACAGAAGGGTGCTCCCACTGTGGCCCAGTCCAGTCCAATCCTCTTCACGTTGTTCCTTGCTGGCCAGGAATCTGAGATGCTGCTGTAGGCAGCTGTTGGCTCCACAAATCCCATGGGTGCCCAACAGCTGCTCTGATGCATTCAGAGATGGCTCTGAGAATGCTCTTTAATTCCCAGGGGGTTTATGTGTAAATCAGAGGACAGAGGTCATAAGGAGAATGGCAGTCTCTAGAATGGCTGGACTTGGTTTATCAACTTCTCGACAAAGACTTTAGGCCTCTGGTCCTTAGGGCAGCCCTGTGACGCAGCCACAGCCCAAGGCACCCCATGAGCTCAATGAGCATGGGCCTAGAGCGTATCTGACAGTGGCAGATTCTCACTTTCCTCCAGTTTTCACCCTCGTTTTCCACGTTTATTGACAAGAACAAACATCCTCTCAGTGCCATCCTAAATGACGCTAACCTGGACATGATCCTGACCGTCTCCCTTGCTCACAGGTGCAGCTGGTGGCAGTGTGGCAGGATCTGTGCCAGTCAGACCTCCTCCTGGATCGGCAGTTGACAGAGCTCTACGAGGTGCTGCTAGGGATGTGGCACTCGCAGCTGCAGTGGACCACGCAGGTACAGCTGTGCTGGGGGGGAGGGGTCCGCGGGGTCCGGAGCCTCATGTGCTGGTGCTCAGGAGGCGTTCAGCCTCCTGCAATCAAAGCAGAGGAGGCCAGCAGACGCTGTTTCTCTCCCCAGGCATCCCCGCAGCTCTATCTCTTCCTTCATCTATTTGAAATGTGGCCAGATTGCTCAGCCAAGCAGTTGAAGACTTGCAAAACTCCCGTTTCTGGCCTCACCTGATGTTGTGCCCCCATCACCCCTAGGGTTGCCTTAACAACCATTGTAGCTCAACTGGATTTAGTGCTTCAGGAACTTTCCTTGCAAAATGGAACCGTTTACATCTCCTTACATAAAAAGGGCTTGCACGTAAACTAATTCTTGGCAAACTGTTTGCCTTCTGCTCTTGATTCCCCAAACAGATGCCACCAGTCCGTGGTTGCATGAGTGTGAGATGTTGGGATGCGATACAGAATTAGATATCCTTGTAACCCTCTCCTGGTATATATGTTTAGGCAGGTTTCTGCCCATAACTGCCATGGTTTGTTGACAACACGTGAAGTCTTTCTAGGCATCCCAGAAGGGCTCTCTTACCAGTTTTGTGGTAAGGAGAGCCAGAATTGGTACTGCAGAACGTATTGCTTAAAAACCAAGGGTCCCTTAACGTAGACCCTCAGAATGGCTTTCAGATGCTGGAACTAAGTCTTGGCAGCAAGAACAGCGTGGCACGCAGACATCAGCTGCAGAGGCATGGTCCCTGCAGGAGTAGCAGCTGTGTTCATCTTCTGCAGGAAAACCAGCAAAGAATTTCGAGGTGCCTTAAAGAGGACAGAATATGAAGCTGTTTACAGCCCTGAGTCTGTTAAGATTGGGGAAGGCTGGAGATCTTGTTAAATAAGTAAATGGTTGCTAATTAATTGTTCTTGTTCAGTCGTTAAGTCGTGTCCGACTCTTCGTGACCCCATGAACCATATCGCACCAGGCCTTCCTGTCCTTCACTGCCTCCCTGCGTTTGCTCAG